TACAACACAAAATGTACGTAAACAAAATGTATTGAAACAAGGAAAAAGGTACACAATATTTACAGTTAGTTTTGGTATATTCTTGAGAAGACGGTTCCTGCAGAATGGGTTGACTTAATCGCAGTCGGGCAGAGTCTCTGGATTGGATCTCTTCTTACTTCTCCCGTCTTCCGGTACCAACCCATATTTATATCGGTCGGTACTCCACTATGTAAATTAGGTGGATCGTACCACGACACTATTGTTAATAGACTCTCCCACATATAATAAGTAGTAGTAGTAGCAGTTGCCAGTGAGCTCAGCGAGTTGGTCCGAGTTCAGTTTGAAGTCGGACGACCGGCTGACCGGTTGAACTCTCTGCCTTCGGGCGGGGAGGAACCCGAACGAGGCTACGTCGAAGGGCGGAGTCTCTTTCGGGGAGGTAAACCGACACTGAACCCGTTTATACGGGTTCAAAGGGCATATTTTTGGCCGAGCCCACGGGCTCGGAGATCCCACGTTTAAACCAGCCTTGTGCCACATGATGCCCTCGTGGGAGGGGTGACTAAATACTCTCAGTGAATTGGTCAATGAGTCCATGTCGGACATTAAAGTATCAACCACCACAACTAGATTGCTGCGTCATTAACTATTATAACAAGTTCCTAACGTTTTGTACGTCGAACCTTTTTAGGACCGACTTAGTGAAATACAAGCCTCCACTGTGAAACTATTCTATAACAAAAACATTACTATGTAAATAATTACAATACCTCAGTATTGTAATTATTTACATTCGGACTGTTGTTCTCATATTTATTGCCATGCTCACGAGATGAACAGGTGAAGATCAGGCGTAGCTGACCATATACAGAGGGAAAAGGCAGATCACCACCGCCTGTGGGATGCGGTTAAAATAATAGACAGAGAACATCACTGGAAAATACGAAAACTTAACGAATCTGCACATTTTCTAGGTCATAAAAATATCCTCAGGCTGCCAAGGATAGAAATGAATACAATATGGGAAACAGTGACACTGGTGCTAGAGAAAAGGAATAACAACAAGAAAATTGTAATATGAGCTCTGGTAAAAACTGTTAAGAGACATTAAGTTTATAAGTCGTAAAAATGCATGCACTGATGTCCTCTAGGACACATGGCCCAGTGGATAAAAGCGTTGTTTGGCTCCTGTGACTTGGCTCAAAAGCGCTGTACCTGACTATAGCAAAAAAAAAAAAAAAAAAAAAATCAAGACAAAATCGAGACAAGACAACGATAAAATCGTCATTTATTCTTGTTGGGTTTACAAGATTTGTTTGTTTACGTCACACGTTTTGTTAGTCGGAAAAGTTCTCATCGCAGTCTTCATCTTCTCCGTTTGTTTTTCAGCTTCGCATCAAACAGACAAAAATCGCGAATGAAAGCAAATATAATTTGCTTCGCAAATGAAAACAAAATCTGTGTGCTTTTGTAAAAAGCTTATTACATCGCCTTTGCCTAAATTAACGCGGCTTAATTAGCCCATTGTAAAATGGAACTATTTTCATAGAGTAGGAATTAATTATCACTCACCTTGATTATAATATCTATGTATGTATCTATTTACAGATAGATACGAAAATAAAATGAAACAATCTGTACAATTATATCTCCACTTTTTCATCTATCTATCTATCTCTCTCTCTCTATATATATGTGTGTGTGTCGAATATTCTGTATGACCGAAAGATTTCGGCTATACTTTTAGCCACTGTCAAGGATGATTTTACTTTTATTTTTAACTGAATGTATAAATTGTGTCATGAATGTATCTAGATTTATAGCAATGTTTTATTTTCCATAATAATAATAATATGATTTCCCTATCCACATGTAAAAAGGCTAAAAATAATGGAAGCATTTTAATAAAAAAGAAAAAGCCAACGCTCAATCATATCAATTATGTACATGGCCACAATATGCTGACTATGTTTGGAAAATACAACATTCCTATAACTCTAGATACATACATAAAACAATCTACATTCAGTGACAAGTAGAAATAATTATCATCATTGATAGTTGCTAAAACTGAAATAGAAAAGATCGAAGGTACTTGGGTTAAAGAAAAAAAAGAAACAACCTACAGCGTCTTTCTTGATGAATTTCATCTCAACATCACGAAACTGATTAGTTTAACTGATTATTGAATAGGATCAGTATAAAAATAAGTAGACACAACATGACTATATTTTTCAATGAAATATATATATATGTGTGTGTGTGTGTGTTGATATAATAGGAAAGAACTGTTAGATTGATGATCCGAAGTTCCTATGTATTTTTCTTTTTATAAAAAAAAACAGTTCTCGATACAGAAGTAAAGCCTAGATTATAATTATTTAAAAAAAAAAAAGATTCTATCGCGACACAGAAATTACTATGTTTCGAAACTGGTCAGCAGTGTTCAAGTTTAATTTCAGTATTAAATTATAACCACTGGGTGGCAGTCTCATCCTCAAGCTATGCTACGGAATGTTTTATTCATTTATAATTTTGAAATGGAGGTGTGATCTAGGGTTTGTTTTTCATTATCAAGGGGTCACTGCTTTGATGGAAGAAATGGTGTTTGTTATATGTCAAGTTTTTGGACTCGTGTAAGGTTGGGTTGTTCTTTTTTTAGTCAGGCTACAATGGCTAATCTTATCAGACTCACTGCTAAAACATTAACTGATTAATGTTGTCGTTCCGGTAGTTTTTGGTGTTTACTTATTTGATTTTTTTTTTGTTGATGATTCATTAAAGAGGCTTTACCCCTTGAATGAATCATCAACAAAAATTATGTATGGGTTGTGTTTTTAAACATATTGTTTTAATTTAACTTCTTAACAGATTTGGAAATTATTATTTTTTTGTGTCCATTTATAAAATGCTAATTATTTAAGGCGAATATTTGGTGGTGTATGTAAAAAACCTTTATCTCATTTTTTGGCTTAATGAATTTTCGTTTTTTAGAAACTTAATAATGTGCAGTTTTTCATGTAGGCATAAAGGGCAAAAGTCATCCCAGGTTTTACAAGTTCTTGTTCTATTTATTATTTCCCATTTTACTTTTGGTATTTTATTTGATTTTTTTTTTAAATGCCAAAAATATTTAGATAGGGATGACTGACTTCTGTTTCTAATATTATTGAAGGAGCTTTTGTGGTGTCTCCACCTTATTTTAAATACATTCTTTGTGGATCCTATATATAAATATCTTTTCAATATTTGGATTATCAATGGACGAGATTGTGTATTTATATACCACAAATTATATGCGGTATCTATTATTCAGGTGGCAATTTTCAGGGTTTCTACAATCACATAATTTTCATTATTTTTTTTCTAATTTTAATTTAGGATCTTTATTTATTTGATTTTGGCATGCGGGTTTTTTCAGGATTTTATTATTATGTTTTTTTATAATCCTTTCTAGATTTTCAGTACAGCTGTAACTTAATTTTAGGCCGTTTTTTTATTATTAAAGATGTTGCTGTTTGTTGCTAGTAGGAAAGTTTTTTTCGATTAAAGCTAGAAATTTTTGTCCTAGCTTATTGCTAACTATTTGGTTGAACGTGGAGGGGTGTACCAAATGATATTTCTTATTTGTTTTTCCTCTGGTTTGTACTAAAGTTTGTCTATATAATTGATGTTAGGGTGTTTGTAGCCATTATTTTTTAAAGCTTTGTTATAAAAATTAATGTGTTTATAGAATATTTCTTCATTTGCGGAGTTCATGCTGATTCTTTTCTCTATTGATGAGGGTATGTACTTAATTATGGATGGAGGATGGTTTGACCTGGGGTGTACATAGAAGGGGTTAGTGTTAGTTTTTCTGTAAGGTAGGTATATGTTATTCATTAAGTTTAAGGTTATGTCGAGGAAGTTTACCCTTTTCAATTATGTACTGACCGTAGTTTTCAAATTTAGATTACTGAATTCACTATATATTATCTTTATAATGCTATCTATTTTAAAATTTGTGGATCTTCTCTGTACCATGCGGCCATCATCTCTGTATAGCCCGATGTCTTTAATGTCTAATTCACGGTGCGCGGTTAGATTGTATAATATAAATAGACCAACAAGGTCAGAAGGCTCCGCAGAGTATTAATATAACTAATACTTTGCGTATAATTATATATATATATATATATATATATATATATATATATATATATATATATATATATTCGATTTATATATATATATATATATATATATATATATATATATATTGAATTATATATATATATATATGGGATTTCATTGAATAATATATACATATATAGGATTAATTCTAGTATAAAATTTATCACTTAGCTGCATGATAGTATATTCAACACCCAGACTAAAGAGTTTTGTAGACAAAAGTTTTAGTAATCGTTCGGTCCACTCGTCAGTTGGTATCACAAATTGTTTTCCGATATTCTCCGATTCGTTAATTTTATATTAATTTGAAAATAATTGATGAGCTTGTCATTGGTGATAAGTTAATATATATATATATATATATTATTATTATTATTATTATTATTATTATAAAAGACACGATCCTAACGAAGTAAATATATCCGCATGAACGTACCGTTTATAATAATAATTATTGCTTTGTTTCTGACATAGAGCTCTCCCTGGATTTATATCCTTTTGGAAATATACATAATGATCACTAATATTATCATTATATTATATATATATATATATATATATATATATATATATATATATATATATATATAATTAGAAAGTTTCGTTTCGAATATTTTCAGGTAAAATAACGGTTTATTTGTTGAAATCAATCCAATCCTATGTCTGCTTGTATAATATACAATATTATCTGAAATAAAACTGAAAAAAGCAGAAAAATTAAAACGAACCGTTTCTGCTGGTTTTGGCTTCTTGAGGTTAGGATGAAAGAAAAAAAGCAAAGGCCAGTTGCTATTTACATCGAATTTAATTTCAATTTTGACATCTGATACTAATTTCAAACTTAGCTTTTTATCATTTTTATTTATTTTATTATTTTCTTCTGTCGCACATTATATTAACTCTATCTATCTATCTATCTATCTATCTATCTATCTATCTATCTATGTCTATCTTTTCATATCTATCTATCTATCTATCTATCTATCTATCTATCTATCTATCTATCTATGTCCATCTTTTCATATCTATCTATCTATCTATCTATCTATCTATCTATCTATCTATCTATCTATCTATCTATCTGTGCATCCGGTGTAATTGATAGCGGCTCGGAATGAGAATTCAGAGAGCCAAGTTCGAATTTCTGTGGAATTTGTTACCTTCACTGAGGCGCAGATACTCTTGGGAAAGGTATGAAACCATCTCCCTGCAGCTATAGGTTATATAGCTGTGGCTTTAATGCCTATGGCTTTAATTGACTAGCCTCCTCAGCAGTGGTTGGCAACCTGTCTAGGAGAATAAAATATCTAGCATGGGGCGAGCGACCCCATTACGTAGAAACATACTTGCTACAGAAAACAGAGCAGTTGCGTACAGTGTGATGAAATCTGTGATCCTATACGGCTCGCTGGAGTCTATTGAACGCGAACACTCGAGAATAAGAAATGGCGAGATCTACTGCAGTCTTCCTAACTATATATCACTGCTAATCTCTTTGGGAGTCTTTGAAACACGAACAAACGCTAGAACACTTTTTATAAGAAATCCCCGAGAAAAATGTTTGGAAGTGACCTTTCTTTAGAAGATTGATTTATTTGTTTGTTTAACGGCACATCAACTCCTTATGGGTCATTTAATGCTGAAATTTTCTTGGTAGCTTTGAAGTAATAAATATCTATGTTATTCTGTTTTCACAACTGAATACATAGTAGATGATTTACAATAAATACAATGGAGGAAAATAAATATTCATATACATACAAATTTTTAATTTATTGTTTTTTCAACTAATGAATAAACATACTTTTCACAAGAACTACAAGAATGGAATGGTTGCTGTAGAAGTGAATAATGGCTATTCTAAAAAGTATTAAATGAAGATTATGTATTCTTTTGGTATTGTATCAATACTTTTTCACCCATTAAAATGGATAAATGGAATTTATTCCTATTAAATCAATTTTTTCTATTTTTATGCAAAATTAATTCTTATCCATCTGTGTACAGTTAATTATATGAAGAGTATGTTTATACACTAGTTGTAAATACATTAAATAAAAAATTTGTATGTGTACAAATATTTGTTCTACACCCACCCCTACCCACTATATGTATTTTTGGTAGTTTTTTTTATATAAAAAATATATTGCTGGTAATGTAATTTTATGCTTTTATGTTGTTTTATTTTTGTTTGCAGGTTCACTATAGCTGCTAATCTAACATGCGCTACCACCCCGGATCAGGGCGGGCCCGGGAACAACAGCAATTAAGAAGTGATTCCATATTCCGCAAAACCTCCAATCTGCCGATCAGAAGCCTTGCTGGCGGATATAATCTTTACAAAAGCGAGATCAGAACAAAGATATCATATTGCTGCCATATCTAGTCAGGGATTGCCCAATCCTCGTTTTCCAAGCTTGACAGTATTTAAAACCTTTTACGCGGCATCGTCGGCGATGAATTACTTTTCATTCCTACAACCTCTTTCTCAAAAGATTCTGCGAGCGTGATGCGATAGCTCGAGGCTATATTCATAGAGAGAAAGGCCCTGATTAAATTCTCATGGATAATGTGACGAACATTCAACGTACCTACCAGGATCGAAAAGGCCACGATGCTTCGCATGCTTAGTCCGCCATTTGCAGTTTGTAAAATGCGCATGCTCGGATTGGCATGTCTCATAAAATTAGTGAGAGGCGGCCATGAAAATTTTGAGTATATATAAAGGCTACGAATTTGTCGGTGGTCAGAAGAATTTTTGCCTGACGCCGAGATAACGGCGTGAGAACGGAGAGAGGCAAAACGGAGAAAGAGAATAGATTAGTTATGAAACGAATTACTGGGCATTAAAAGAAAATATATTCCACCTTTTCTGATTTCTAACTTTTTCTTTTGTCTTCCTTCCCTTTTTACTTGCATAAAGCTCGAATAGATAACAGCATTCACCAGTAAGCCCATCAGAACTTTTACTGATGAATTGTGAATCTGCTTATGCTTTCGATTCGCAAATACACCAAACGAAAACGGCATCGTTGAACAGTCCCATAGAAATGTGTAGAGAAATTCTGCTAGAAAGCAGTGTTATGTCCAAAGGTGTCATACCTGTATAACGTAACTCGCGAGGATTTGTTTGGTTTTTCTCTTGATAAAAAAAAAGGCATTTGATCAGTTGGCTTCTGATCTCTCAGATTGTCAGACGTGTTGAAGCTATGATTCGAATTCGAATTTTGTGTTTGGCAGCCGTTAGTGTGCTTGACGACTGCTAGCACATTTTAAGGAGTCAGCTGGAACTTTTCATTTTTGACACCAATGAATAGCGTCTTGGAATGAGAAATCGGAGAGCCGTCTTCGAATTCTTATCGGGTTCGTTACATTCACTTAAGCGAAAATACCCATGGGTAAGATAACGGTTAACCCTAGAACGCGTTAAGATTGTAACGATCGGGTAAGCATCCTTTTGGGACTCGATTCCACAGAGCAACGGTTTGTGGGAAGAAGCTTCTCGAGTGAAACTTGCATCCCACCAACGAAGTGAATGAAGGCGGTTCTCTACAATGGGCGTGGCATGGTGGGTCTTAGACGTGAAGGTTAGAACTGGTGGAACTAAAGAATGTAGTTCGTCTGACCATTTTCCATGGCAATACAAGAAGAGAGAGAGAGAGAGAGAGAGAGAGAGAGAGAGAGAGAGAGCAGTGAGAGACACTTTGTACACTATTGAGACTGAAAAGTGAAGACTGTGCAGCTCCTTCCCCTATATTGCAGCAGTACTCCATTTTAGGCCTGATCTGGCTCTTGTAAATGTAGAAGATAGCAGGATTGAGGATTCAAGTATTTGCTGGAACGGTACAGGAAACACATTATTCACAAGAAATCTGAATATGCTCTCAAGCAGATCATTAATATAAAACTGGAAGAAAGTTAGAGCAAGACTCGAACCTTGTGGGACGCCTGCATTTAACTTACAAGCAAATTAATATACATATTCACAAATTTTCGGAATAATATTTATGACTGATCCGTTTACTACTGCTTATCAACCGACTACAGAGAATATTTTAGATTGTACGAAATCTTTTTTTTTTTTTGAGATAATAATGATTTAGTGATACAAGGAGAGAAGAGGTAGATTTATACCTTAACCAAGGGTATTTGCTCGTAAGTGAATATTCGATTGATCTGCTTTTTACGGTCTATCAACCCTTTACAGGTTATGCAAAGCCTTTAATGTTTTTCATATCGTAAGATTTTTCTGGAGATAATAATGGTTTAGTAATACAAGTCTCACTAATTAACTGAGAGGAGAAGAGGTTTATCCATACCTTTTCCCAAGGGGATTTGCGCGTAAGTTAATATAACGAACCCAACTGGAATTGGAACTCCGATTAACAATTCGAAGCCACATCCAAGCTTACAGCAGCTGTTGATACTCCCAAGCGAAGGTACTGCCATATCTCAGCGTTGCTTAACTTCGGTGAACGTACGGGAACCGATGTTTCAACATGTTGCGGCCGTAATCCAGGAATAATATAAGAGTAAAGACAATATTAAAAATGTCTTTGATTAATTCTGTTGTTATTTTTTTTTCTTAACGAAAGGCTGGAGCTTGTATTAATGTCGTTGTGAAGATAACAGTATAGTAATGGGTTTACAGTAGAACATGGTGTGGAATGAAGGAAGCCATTCGTGACAGACGTGCTGGTAGCTGTAAGTGTTATCAGCGCGGAAAGGAGAATCAGCGAACAGTGTTCAAGATCCGGCCTAATCAGTTGAATTGATTTTCATACTAATGGCTTTGGTAATAACATGACTTCCTGCCTTTCTCCCCCAGCTATAGGTTAAATAGTAGGGTAGCTGGTCTAAAAGGAGGATAAATCTGAATTCAAAAAACGTGGAAAAAGCAACGAGAAACCAACCCATTATATTTTCTGAGAAGTCGTAGAGAATTATGATCGTCTACGCCCTGAAAAGAACATGACATTTCAAAATATTTATATAAATGTTATTATTATTTCCTTTGAGGTTTCGATAATAGTTCATTATGATCCCCAGCCTTCTTCATGTGTCTGTCGATCCGGGTATCTCTCAGGTTATTTTGAACCCTTTATTGAATCTACCCCTGTTGATTGTTCTCATCCTGTTGCCCACGTTTAAAGATATCTCATGTTTTTATTTAGTACTGTTTTCACTGAGTTTAAATCTGTGCTACCCTGCCCAGGGACTGAACTCACAATTAATATGTCACCAAACTCACGAGCCAATGCTTTGATCCACATGGGTCGGGTCAATCCCCGTAGATTAATTAAAGAATTCCCTGAAGCTTATCCGGATCGACGGACATCCGAATAAGTCCAGAGAGGATAGCAGCTGAAACGGGATAATAACAGCAATGATCAGAATATTAGTTTGAATGCAAATCTTGTACTTAAACGCTCTTAATGTTATCTGATGAAAATAATCAGAGTTAAACTTTTAAGCCACTGGCTCAATGGTAAACTAAAAAGCGGAATTACATTGGAAGAATTGACTGATTGCAGACTTTGAATATGACCCCACCCCTGCCTCTAAATATTAAATAAGTGGTTCTCTTTTAAAGTCCCAAGTTATCCATAAAGACAACTGAAGAAGAGTCAGACGATACAATTTTCGAAACTTTATCATTGTAAAAAAAAAAAAACAATATGAAAACGCCAGTTTGGATAAATCAGTTCATAACAACGGCATTATTTCACATAATAAAATGAATAGCAAAATTCTTCACTCGAGACAATTTCAGAGAGATGAACCTATCCATCTAACGCCGAAATGAAAAAAAAAAATGGTCAAGCCGATACATTTCGAACATCTGTAAAGGAAATGAACCAATGACCTTTGAGTTGAGAATAACGATAATTTGAAAGGTCAAAAAGTCCGAAATAATGCTGCTAGGAATAAAGGCGAAAGGTCAGAAACGAAACGTTTAATTCCCTCCAAATTGACCTTATCAAACAGAGTTTTTTCTTCTAATTACTGAAAAAATAAGGTCCATTTAAATACAATTAATTAATCGCTGGATGCTTTGGTTGTCTGCATATAGATGCCTTCTTTTCTATTAACTCCAAGGAG